CAGAAATGAATGGAGCAGTGTATGGATAGGTGAGGGAAGCAGATTATCCTGAGGATCAATGTAGAAGGCGTGGAATGCAATAACACAAGTCGACTACATTTCGATATCATATTCCTGGGTTGGCATAAAACAACCGATAAAATGAGTTACGTATCTTTAATTTTGGGACTAAAACTTTCGCCTGAAACACAGACAATCGAGACTCCGTATGCTTTTCTCTCCGTGCTCACGTAATTGAAGAGGTCGAATGTTCACTTACGAGAGGTTGAGTAGTAACAGCCAAGTTAGATCTGCCTGAATTTGTCTTGTTCTTTGTAAATGCCATGAAGTAAACGATGGTCTGCCAAATTATAGTGGTTTAGTGTTTGCGACCAACGTTATTATTGTTACTTGATTTGTAGAGGAGTTCATAAATAGTTAAGGTGTGATTGAAAACAAAGAAATCCACTATTCCATCTACAATTAGGATGAAGAAACCCCCAAAACTGTTTTATCATGGCATTTGTCTTTTCACTTCTCTTGAAATATTTGTTCTTCTCTCAGTTATGGTGAAGGAAATTGCTCGACTCATCAGGAGGCAGGAAAGGCTAAAATTAGGAGGTGCAAGGGAAAGATCAGGAAGAGAGTAAAACTGAGGTTAAAAATGGAGGAGGTGGGAGAGCAGTTTTCTAAGATCCTAGTGGGACCTAACAACTGTTTTAGGTGAATTCGAGACAATTTAAACCTGTATTGAATGGATCTCCCTTTTTACAAATTTCGGCATTCCTCTTATGCTTCCATCCATTGGCGGCCTTTGGGTCGAAAGCTTTGCATAATTAAAGCCAAGTAGAAGTGCTCTCCCCTGAGGGCGTGGTAGAACTCGACACTTGCACAATCAGAGAAAGGAAGGAAATTAGAACAAGGCAAATGAGGCAACCAAAGAGAAGCTGCACCGCCTTACCAATGAGTCCTTTATATTTCAAATATTTTTACAATCCCTTCAAATCCTGCTCCAACAAAAGAGGAGTGAAGAGTGGCACCAAATCAGAAGAATTTGTGTATATTTTGAGTGAAGTTGAAGTATTGAACTTGTTGGATTATAGAAGGACACGTAGTTTTTTATCAAAATTTGAGGACAAGACAATATTCATGCCTTTTATTTAGTTTATGACTTTCCGCCTTTCCTGAATGCCTTTTAGGGAAGAGACTTGGAGGCAGAAAACTCTTTTCTAGGACTGTGCGTCCCAATAGGATTTGTTATTTATCAGATTTCGAGAGAAGGCCAATTTTGTCATTGTATTCGGAAGTACATTGATGTCAAAAGGGTGCAGATGCAGCCACCGTAGGCTGTGTGAAGGAGGAGTGGTGCAACTGATGAACCGACACTGTAAAGGCCTGTGCACAATCTGCTTCACCGTTCTTTATTTGTGCATCCTTCATCTGTCTGCTTCCAATGCGTACTTGTGACAATCCACTCTCTATCGTTTAGCCAACCGAAACCAGCAATCTTAACGCTTAACAGACATCAAAGGGCTAAAATTATGATCTTCTTCTTTCTCCTCCTCCTCCTCCTCCTCCTAAGTCAAGCTTTCACACCTCTCCCTCCCTTCGTTGTCATATGCCCATTCAGGGCTGCCACAAGTGGCATTCTAATGTCGATCACAAGACGAAGAGACGTCGAAACTCGTGAAATTAATTGTACCTTGCATCAGGGACTCCACAAATGTGTGGCTAAGTCGCCTTCGTGTTTTACTCCTCTGAAGAGGTAGATGGGACGATACGAAGGAATAAAGGCTGGTCACACTACACTCAAGCCTCATCTTGCAATGACCTTTGTCATCATGTCTTCCCCTTCGTCCAAACTATTCTTCCTTCCCTAACCCAGTGATAGATTTTTTTCCCATCTTCTGCTTCTTAGCTCTCAACAGAGAGACACAATCAGAGTCATTTTTCCTGCAAAGAAGTAAGAATTTACTTTGACACTGTTTGGAGAAAACCTTCTTCTTCATTCTATTACCTTCATCGTGCGTCTGGAGATACTTCTTTCCCTTCCTTCTTTATGACTTTTAAATTTTAACTCACTTTTGCTTCATTAATAGTATTGTTTTTCTACCCGTTTCCATTCATCAGCTATTTTGGCTACTTAACACATCGGCAGTGGTGTTTGTTTGCTCACTTTCCCAATTTTACCATCCCTAACAATCGGCTTCTACATTTGACAAAATTAAATGTTTGTTAAGTTCTAATAAATTCATATCAAAGATTTTTGTCAACAAGATTAGATTTAATTTTCACATAACCACCTGTCAAAACTGCTTCGTGGCAGATTTAACTTTGGCAAGCTCAATGTCATCAATGATGAGCGGTTGAGCGGAATTGCTCTCACACATCCCCTCAAACAGTAAAGTTTCAGTATGCAATCAAGTAACGCAGTACAGAATAGATGGTGAAGTGGTGAGGTCATTAGGGCTCCAACAGCAAGCCTAAGGCTGTGACATCCCCACGACATGGTGAGGTCATCAACAATTTTATCGATTGACTAACCATTCAAAAATTGGCTGTCATTTGGGGCTCTCTGAACGCCCTTGCAAATCACAGAGGTGTGCGCATGCAAGTAGCGTGTCAAGCACCGCCTTTCTTCCGTTTGCTTTCACAAACCTTTGGCTTGGCTGTAGTATGAGCACCTGGACGTTGACTTGAGTGGTAAATATGCACGTTTATGAATGCGTGATTAGTTATGATTTGTGGCTGCCAGGTTTTATTATAATACCTGTAGTGGGAGAGCCTCTGAGGCACTTTAACTAAAGAGTTTGAGAGAATCAAAGAATTAAAAGAAAGAAATTCGTAAGAACATGATACATGTCGAGGTTAGGCTTGATGAAAGGGACAGAAGCAGCAGCTGTGTCTGAAGACAGGACCCGGCTAGTTTGGGAATTTAAAAGCGGATTAGGTAGTTCTCGTGCCGTCGCTGTAGTAGTGTTGATCTTCTACTCTAAAAAATGGGGTAGCAAAGATGGTCGGTCATTTAAAGTGGACTGCTCCAAAGCCTTGACGCATACATGCAGAGGTACTAAGCGCATTAAGCACCAACAGAAACAGAATCTTCGACAAAGAAAAAGTTGCTGCAATGCAAATTCGGGGTTAATTAACATGAATGGAGGATCAGTTTTTTGGACAAATTTCCTCCAAGCGAACCGAGACTCCCAAACATTCCATTTCCATTTTCCTGCCTTTTCGGTCATTTGTGCCTCCGCTTGAACCTTACTCGCACCCACTTATCAAAACAACAAGTTATTTTTACCTCTGTTAAAAATGTATAGGCGTTATTGGAGGAAACAAGGTATGAATGCCGTCCTAATTCTTTTCTTTGCGAGATAAATGAAGGTCAAGGGGAGCAAGCGCTGAGAACAGGAAGCACGGACACGCGAAAGACAACATACAAAGGCGGAAAGGAAAATGCATTCGTCTCTCTCCGCTCCCTCCTTCCAATTCAATACTGACATCACCAAGCGAAGTTAAGTTGGTCGCGATGCTAACCACGATGGCATCTGATGGCTTCAAATATGGCGTTCCAAAACGTTAAAAGGAAAGTAAAACTTCATCGATTTAGTATTTGTTCATTTGAATGCCTCTACGACTGGCAGTCCCTGGTGTTTTTGCTGCCCTTAACCACCTAGGCTGGTCTTTGTGCAAAACCAAAACGCAATCCCATTTGCGATCACATACAGTTAGACGCACTGAATGCCTCCTATTTGGTGTGAAGCCTTGCAATCCTACATTGGTGGCAAAGAAAAACGAAAATTATTTTTTCTTTTACGGCCTTAATTCTAAGCCATCATCCGTATGTGACATAAACCTACGGCGCTAAGGCAACAAGAAATTCTCTATACTCTCCATTAACAAATTGGTTAAAATGATGGCCACGTCTAACTCTGTTCCATTTCTGCCATACAGGCAAACTACTAGCAACTGAAGCGACACCGCTGTGAACCCTCCGCAAGAGTGTCATATCTCAGTTCTCCTCATCCCATCCGCATTTAAATGCCAGAGGCGATACTACACCAAATTCCCCTCTATAAAGGACCAATTTGATCCCGTTTTTTCGTTCAACGCCTCCCTTGGACAGGTGTATAAACGCTCAGCCACGAACATGACTGACCGTCAACAAAAAATTCCTCTCTACAGTTCACGCCCTCAGAATGAATGTAATTGCAGGTCCACTTGTAGCTACAAAGAAAGCCAAATACGACTTCTCTGATAACGACTAGCGTGGCTATTCGTCACCGGAAGAAGAGCTGAGCAATTTATCCCTCTGTTCATTCATTTGCCTGCATGAATGGCTATCACTTTGGTATTTGTCATGCTTCCCTACGCTTGGGTTACCCTCCGAACCAAGGCAAGGACATTCTCCCTCTTTTTTAAATACATGTATTCAAACCAATTTACTCCCTACTCATACCACTGCAAAGCCCACAGACGCCGCATCATTGTGCATTCGCTTTAGAAATGGCTCGGTTCAAACAAACACACAACTATTCTGCTAATTAGTTTTACGGAATTTGTAAACGACTTGTTCAGAGAAAATTTATTCATTCTTATTCACTTTTCTAACAAAAAATGCTGTCAATTGATACCATTATTACTAGCTTGTCTATGTGTTATTTGTCTATTTATTTTAGCTCCATTCCCCGCCCGCGGATGTGCATTTTAACTATCTTCATATTTTATATTTGTCGTTGAGTAACCACCACTTTTCCTATTGTTTTGTTTTGATACGTGATGAGGAGTGGACAATTTAGCACCTTTTCCCACCTAACCTTTATTTTTGGGCTCTTTAACCGTCTGGACGATGTC